AATTTTCCGCAGTAGGAAAAGTTTTCCGATGGAAAAAAGTCACAGGAAAATTCATTTTAATTAAATAAAAAAAATACTCAGCCTGCCAGTTTCCTGCCCGCGAGCCCTACCTGAAGTTTCCGGCCCAGCCCTACCCTACCTAACCCACTACCCGTGAGCCCGTCTTCCCCTGCCAGAGCGCTGCCCTCCTGCATGAGGCTCGTAAGATTCAAACTGCTCTTTGGGAAAGTCTTCAAACACTCAGCCACTCCACCGTAAAGAAAAGAATGTTTTAATTATTATTTTTATATTTAAATTAGAATTATATGAAAATTAAATAAATAATCAATTTAAAAATGAAAATGAAAATTAATAATCAATTAAAAATATAAATTAAAATTAAAAATTAATTAAAAATTAAATAAAAACAAATAATTAATTAAATAAAAATATTAAAATTATTAATTAATTAACTAAACTATTAAATTTCTAATTAATAAAGGAGCTTTGAAGACTTTGAAAAGTTGAGTCAACACAAAGCTTGAAGGTTGTATTCTCTTTTTTATTGCTTGGACAATAGATTTTGTTTCTCTTCCATCATTATCCAAACTACATCATGCAAATCAAGATATTTTGGATCGTTGAAATTACTTAATCTTTGGAGGAATTGTGTTCACACAAAAATATAAGGTGTAAATTCAATTTCGATGAGAGTTCTTAATGATTTAGCTTTCTATATATAGAATGATGGTCACAAGAGTCATTAATGGCTAACAAATTACTTGTGTTAGTGCCCTTAGGCTTAATTAGGTGCAGATGTATATAAGATTTCATGAGAGCTTTTTTTTTCTTAATGATTTAGCTTTCTATAGAATGATTGTGACAATTAAGAGTCATTAATGGCTAAAAAAATTATTCACTGTTCATTGGCTTAATTAGGTGCAGTAGGTTTAACAGTGCATTAGGTCCTAACTATTAATGAGCGACTATTATATTTTTAATATATATTTTCATTTAAAAAAAAAAACATGTGAAGCATAGATGAATTGAAATCGGGCCGAAATTAGCTCGTTATATTGTGCCGAATTGTAAGGCCGACCAAGAATTTGAAAGTTTTTCTAACTGGTTTTGGCCCAATGTTTGTGTTTAACTGCATGCCGACAGACCAAGCCCAAGCACAATCTAGCCTCCATTCAGTTATCTCTACTAGATAGCAATCTATGCCCATTAAAATCTGGAATCAATTTAATTATTAATTTATTATATTTTTTGTTACATTTTTATACTAAGTAAAATATGTTTGATATCTTAAATATCAATATTTTATTTGTTATTATTAAACATAAAATAAACTAATTTATGCAGTAGTGACAACGGTCGTTATTAATAGGACGTTATTGAACAGAGAGAGACAATAATGAGAGCGACGACCAACAGGATATGATAATAATGATAATAATTGCTCATGGTGGTGATAGGTTAATAAGTAGATTGTATTTTTTTTTTATAAGTAACTTAATTAGTTTTTTTAAGTTAAAAATGTGATAAACAATTATATTTTTTAATCAAAACAGGCCTTAAATATTTACCTTGGATTGATCTTACCCCTCTCATCGATCCTAATGATTTACCTTACTAACTTGTCGGTGAACTAATCCTTCAACCATTTCAATCCACCCCTAAAATTGCTTTACTAATGAACAGATAAAAATAAATTAAAACTACCTGTTCAACTGATGAATTTGAGAGTTCATTTTAGTTTTAAAAAATCTATATTATAATCGGCTTAATTGGATCAGTCGACTAGATGTAGATTTAGTTAAATAAAAAATTACTTAATATTTTATAGATTTTTTTTTTTTGTTAAAACCCACAGAAAGGGCCTACCCGTTGATAATAAAAATTCGGTTACAAAAGTCCTTAGAATGGTCCTCCAGCTTACTATTGCTCAGAAGAGCTACAAAAAAATTCAAATAAAATCTAGAAGCCAGTGGTTCCTTTTTCTACTAATACAAAATATCTAATTTCTCAAATCACAGATCTCACAACCTTCCCAACTTTCTTCATATTCATCATCACCCAAATCTCTAATTTCTCAAAATCTCTAATTTCTTAAATCGGCTTATTAAGCTAGAGATAAACTAAGGTAGAACAAATATGCAGTAAATAATAATAATAATTATTATTATTATTATTATTATTATTTCTGACATATTGAAAATTGGCATATAAATTATACTCTTTAAGTTTGTGTTTAGTTGATTGCAAAGAATGATGAATGATGGGTGGTCTGAGAATAAAAAGTAGTTTATTTATCCTCTTCAATTATATATGTGTAAATAAAGTAAAACAGTTTTCTAGGATTAAATGGGGGCATTTAAAGAATATTAACAAAAATATTTTTGGAAATAAGATTTTAGATCTTAAGATTTTGTCTGTGCATGAGGATGCTAATATTATGTGGGAAAAAGTGACTAGTGATATTAAGAATATTGCAAAAGATGTCCTTGGAGTATAAAAGGGAAAAGCTCCCAATAGTAAAAATAGTTGGTGGTGGAATCCTAATGTGCAAGAAAAAATTAAAAATAAGAAGCTTTGTTATAAAAACTGGTTTAATTTTAAAAATTCTGATAATTGGGAAATATATAAAGTGGCTCGTAAGGATGCTAAGAAAGCAATATGCGATGCAAAGACATTAGCTTTTAGTGATTTATATAATAGATTAGATACTAAAGAGAGAGAAAGATATATGTATAAGTTAGCCAAACAAAGAGATAGGAGTAGTAAGAATTTAGTTCAAGTGAAGTGTATTAAAGATGAAGATCAAAAAATACTTTTCTTAGAAGATGATATTCAACAAAGATGGATGAGTTATTTTGCTAAACTTTTTAATGAAGATTGTGAAAATAAGATTGACTATAGTGACCTTAGCACCCTAGATGAAAATAAAGATTTATATTTTTATCGGCGTATTAGTAAAACTGAAGTTAGAGAGGCTTTAAAGAAAATGAAGGGTGGAAAAACTGTTGGACCTGATGATATTCCAATAGAGGTGTGGAAATGCTTAGGAGATGAAGGAATTTCATGGCTTACTAAACTTTTTAATACTATTTTGAAGACTAAGAAGATGCCTGATGAGTGGAGAATGAGTGTGTTAATTCCTATTTTTAAGAATAAAGGTGATGTTCAAGATTGTGCGAATTATAGAGGTATTAAGTTAATGTGTCATACTTTAAAACTTTGGGAGCGAGTTTTGGAGCATAGGTTGCGGCGTGATACTAATGTTTCTCAAAATCAATTTGGATTCATGTCGGGTAGGTCGACTATGGAAGCCATACATTTATTAAGAGGTTTGATGGAGAAATATAGAGAAAATAAGGACGATCTACATATGATATTTATTGATTTAGAAAAAGCATATGATAAAGTTCCAAGAGAAGTGCTATGGAGAGTTTTTGAAAAGAAAGGAGTCAATAATGCTTATATTCAAATCATTAAAGATATGTATGCAGGAGCTATTACTTGTGTTCAAACACAAGGTGGATTGACCAAGTATTTCCCTATTTCGGTTGGGTTACATCAAGGATCAGCCTTAAGCCCATATCTTTTTGCTTTAGTCATGGATGTTCTCACTAGACATTTGCAAGAGGATGTACCTTGGTGTATGCTTTTTGCTGATAATATTCTTCTTGTTGATAAGACTAGAGAGGGAGTTGAAGATAAACTTGAATTATGGAGGTCAACCTTAGAGTCTAAATATTTTCACTTGAGTACCCGTTTTAATTCGCTGCACCACTCTGATACTGCTTCACATGGACAACAACTTGACAATTTGGATGAGCCTAACTTCCAAGTAGCTAGACTCTATGTCCATATATAAGAGTCCAAATAGGGATGACTTTCTAAAAAGACGACAATAGGACCTCATCGCCTACCTATATTGAACCGGCCATTCTCTAAGAGATTATCTCGTCATACTCACAGCATAAATTATTTATTTTGAAGTAGGTGTACAAATTGTTCTTTAAATAAATATTCTTGGCATATAGAAACAAATTTTGAATGATTAACTATGATTTAACATAATTACATGGTATTTATAGCCAATTCAAAGCAACAAGTACTTATGTTTAGCAGCGACAGATTAGCATGGTTTATAAATTCCGTTTTGTAAGTTTCATTTTAATTTGAGTTTTCAACAATTCCATTGATTCTGATGTTTAGTTTTACTAGTTAAATCAATCATTAATTTTTGTTTGATAAAATAATCATTAGAAAAAAATTATTTTCCAAAAATTAAATTTTCAAAAATGATTTTGTGTGCTTGAGCATAATCTTGCATAAAATCTATTAGATGTACTTGAAATTGATCAAAAAAAAAATTAAAAAAATTCTGTTGCCTATAATGTTACTTTTTGGCTAAAACTACTGGAAATTTGTGAAAACAGCAAGTCTGAAGAGAAAACTTTAAACTAGATCCATTATTTTGAAGCTGAGCCTTCTATATTTCACTCTACAGGTCTCTCTCCCAAGACCCACAAGCGATGGATCGATCAAAGGCAGTGACGAAACCTTTGGATTAGGCAACAGAAGTTTAGCAGGTCCTCCTTAATTATTCACCGGTGAGGGGCGACGATGGTCACGTCAATCCCGTCCCCTATATTAAGAAGCCCCACGTCATGCATCCATGCATTCCAGGCCTTTGTTTGCATGCAATCAAATCGTCATGCACTACTGACGTAGATTGATCACACCTAACCTCTCCCCCCCCTCACCATTTGTCAATTTACACATTTAAAATCTTGACGAGACGCCGTCACATCACACAGAAATATACAAATCTCCATTTCTGCTTACTAAACAATAAATATATAGATATAACTAAAGCTAACGTACAGTACTGTTACACAAAACCAGTTCCCTAGCCAGCCTCACGCAACGCCCTCCTAAAACAACCTAATAGCAGAGAGCTTTCACATTTTAGTACAGGAAAGCTTCCAAGTATGTACAGATGAGAGAGCTCATGGAACCAACGGTCCAGATTGTAATGCAGAACTGGGTCCCAGAAAGGGCGTGTCATGTAGCACTGGTGCTCCTCCAACTTGGATGGGAGGAAGCCCAAGATGGTTGTGATTCATGTCGTAGCTGGAAAAGCTAGGGTTTTGTAGGCAGGATTCAAGCCAGTTTGAGAACGATTCCTCCTGACCAGGAGCACTGTTGATTTGTTCTTTTGCTGGTAATGGAGACTTGAAGAGAGAGTGAAGGTGGCCAGTGGTGGGGAAAGGCTGTGAAACAGGAAAAGGGAAGAGTACTGAAGGGTTCTCTAGGGTTTGAGTAAAGTGGGGAAGGTGGCGGTTTTGGAGGAGAGATTGAATGGGATTTTCTAGGGTTTGTGGGTACTCAAGTAGAGGGGAGAAGCATGAGTTGAGAGAAGACGAGGAAGGGTCTAGGAGGTAGGTGCAGTTGGGCAAGTATGCGTTCTTCTTATGGTCACCTCCTCCCTTGTGAAATATTCTACAGATCACCCATTCCTCCTGCAAGGAAACAAATAAATATAGTAACATAGGATAGAAAGAGCTTTGTTAGCATTCTGGTCGTTTCTCTTTCTATCACGAACTTTTTGTTCATGGTGATCAGGGTTTTAAGCATGCCATCAAGAGAATTTCATCTCTAGTTTTTGTGCTATCCAAGCAAGCTTATTGTTGTACCTTAAGAGAAAAACTGTTCATCCTAATTGCTTGTTCAGATGAGCTAGTTAATGTACAAACTTGAGAATCACAGTAGAAAGACCGCAAAGAAGATTTTAAAGTGCTTAGTTAATGAAGGAAGATTAATGTGGAGCCACAACTTCCAAAAAATATATTCTTCCTTTAAGGTGTGTTTGAGCCCTCTATCCTAACCCTGTCAAAAATTCCTTACTCATTTAAGTTTTGGATATGTGAATCATTACTTGAAATCTAAATAACAAAATACTAAACATTATTTTATAGAATTTTTTATTTTTCAAATTAATGAAGTTAAGAACTTACAGGTAAAGAAGATATAAAATATTTTTAAAAAATTATGTAAGTTATTTAGGAATATAAATTAATCTTTAATTAATTGTCAAAAACAATTTTGATAGACTCATGCCCTCAGTATTATCTATACAAAGGAACTGCAAATTATTTAAATAAAAATAATAATTTTGTCTAGTACAGTTCCCTCCCCCAGCAGTTCAAATCAATCATACAAGTTCTTTCTCAATCTCACGAACAAATTATTAAAATCCATTAGTCCTTATTTTTTTTTGGGAATATCATTAGTCCTTATCATATATATCTACTTATGAATGTCTTTTCATATATGATGTAATGCAACCCATAAAAAAAAGTTTGGCTTATGATCACCTCATAGTTATTTTAACACTAGCCTGATCAATATTTCTGTAAGTAGCCCAATAGAAATATGATAAGGAACACAGTAATTAAAACTGAGTACATTGTCAAATCAAGAGAACAATACAAAAAAATAATTTAAACAGAGTTTTGATAAGAGAAAAGACCTTGCATGCGTGTCGGAAGGAGAAGTCGCCATGGAGGCGATATTCGTGTAGGACCCATCGGGTCTTCTCGCCGCGCGGAGCCCGGCCCTTGTAGAAGACCAGGGTCTTCTTCATGCCAACCAGGGCGCCGGTGGCCGCAGCAACAACCTCCCGGTCCTTGCCGGTTGCCTTCCAGTATCCGGCCCCTGTCGCCCGGTTCGTTCTTAGACCGGTCGGATACTTCCTGTCCCTTAAGCTAAAGAAATACCACTCCCTCTCTCCCATCTTCGCCGCCTCTGCATTCAAAGTAGTGTTCTCTTCGAGATCATTTACTGATGCCATTATTTGTTATCTTTTTTATTTAAATCAGTGCAACTCAGAGAATTTTGTGATTTTTCTATACCAATAGAAACATAAAAATTAACAGTATATAATGCTATTCTCTTCAAATAAAATACTTTTAAAATAGGATTATTATTTATCATATATTTAAAGAAGACAGAGTGAGGGGACAAGAAGAATGGATGCTGTATGGAAAGGTATTTGGGACTTACAGTGCTCAATAGTGGAAGTGAAGCAAAAGGACAAACTAAGGATTATGAAAGCTGGGAATAGGAGAGGAAGAAGGTAGGGAAAGAAATGGACTGATTATCAGTCGTTTGGTGCATTGGAAATTGCAAGTTTGTGAACTATACATCCACGGACTTTCTTATAGAAGAGGAAGAAGAAAACATGGAGCAAATAGTTTGGGGACTACGAAGAAAAGTTGATCAAATTAATTCTTATGATTATTTTCCTAAAGGTCGAGGTATTTTTATCAGATTGTAAAAGATTTCTTTGTATTTTACAAGATATATAATAATCAAATTTCAAAATTTAGTTAAAAAAAAACTAATTTTGAAATATAAGGAACTGTCGTTCACTTTAAAGAGAAATTTAATTTCTCCTCTGTTTTTTTTTTTCTTACGAGTTATAATACCTGATAGGTTTATAGGGGCAGTGATGGCTTTAAACAGAGAGAAAATGCCGGTAGCTATATATTTCAGGAAAAACTGAAATATGGCCATATTTAACGTGGATAAAGCTTGGTGTCTGAAATTCAAATGAAAACATACTAAATAGCTTATAATGCCTACTTGTACCTCTTTCTTTCTTACTTTCAAAACTCACATGCGGTTAGGAGAATTAGGACTAGTAACTAGCTAGTAGCTATGATAGTATCCTCATTCTAATTTGGCTCTTCAATTAATTTATAGATTTGAATATATACGTAAGAGTTTTTTATAAGTACCTGGAAGCTCCCATGGCTCGCATCTATTAAGATCAACTTCGACAATATCAACGCCGCAAAGGCTTCCATTGAAGACTTTGGAGGCCAAGTAGAAGGTAACAAGCTCTTCATCAGTGGGGTGGAAACGGAACCCCGGTGGTAGCCCATGCTCGCCACCAACTTCCTCAGCAAATACTTCCCAAACGAACTCTCCTCCCATGGTATTCATCAGCGCTCTCTACTAAGAAAGATAGACGCCACAGAAGAAGAACAAGAATGAAGAAGAGAGGGCTAGCTAGATAGCTATATAGCACAATATAATGTGCATGTGAACCATGAAAAGACCTTCTATTCATTCATAGAGAAGCACTGAAACTGAAGGGTTAAAGAGGTGATGGAGAGAGATGCAGTTTTGAGTAGGGAAGTGATTAAGGGATAAGGAAGACCGTACAAATAGCGCACCTGAAAGGGCTAGAAAAGGGAAGGTTGTGATCAGAGGAGGAGGAGGTGCATGGCAGGGAGTAAATGCGATGAGGAGAGGCTAATGGAGATTTATGCGTGCGCTTGTGAGCATGAAATTGGTTCAGGGCACCAGTCACAGGTGCAGCGCGATAGTGTTGTGGGCCGGCGCAGCCTGGCTGGCTACAGAGCCCAACGCAAATCCTGTTTGTCTAAACTGTTCGCTGCTTTTGCAACCCACTTCAACCATAAATGCAAGATTTTGATGTTTTGCATCTGGAGGAGCTTATTGTTATGTTCACGTGGGAATGCTATGATGATCTGTGTGGCGCTTTTGTGCTTATTATTGCGGGTTCGGCCAATAGACTTCGTTGGGATCGCTCGAACTGGACCAATATTCATTGAATTTACAGGTGAGGATGCGCATCACGATCTTATGATGATTATCAATCAGTTTATGTTGTAGAGCACACGTGTGAATAGTTTATTTGAATTCAAAACAAGTATTAAATATCAAATGTCAAATAGGTGAAGAATATATTCGCTTACATACCAACCTAATGCCAGCACTTCCGAGGTATGCAATATGCATGCGGCATGCCAGCCATTTTTTAAAATAATATATATACGGGGAAATTATATTCATAACATCTAAGTTTTAAATATTTATAAAATTAATATCCTATTTTCTCCATTTTTAAATTAACAATAAAAATTAAAATTAATAACAAAATGTTTACTCGTATTTTTCAACATTTGTTAAATTTCTAATGATTTGATCGTGGAAGGCACAAATGCTTTAGAAATTTATATGATGGTATTTTTGTAAATAATCAAACAACGAGTGTTTATATATACACACACACATAAAGGGAGGGTAGACTTAAAATCTTGGACTTCCAATGCATCATTTAGGAGGGAAGATGTATTAGATTTGACCTATGTTAAGAAATATGAAGATAGAACCAAAACAACTAGATTTGAAAGTATATATTTTTTTTTATTTGATTTAAATGTGAATTAGATTCTTTATAGCGCACCTGAAATGGCTAAAAAGGATTGATGTAGCTGGCTCCATGTTGTGGTATAAAAGCTTGATATTGTTGTTGTTCTTATTGAATTTAAAAAGGGTTTATTGGCCACATGATGAGAATTTCTCATATAACTTAAATATATTCATCTTGCATGATTTGAACAATAAAATAAGTATGAGATACAAATAAAATCTTGTCAATTTTGATCTTAACCTTGTAGAAATGTATATATAGGATTTAGCAAGTAAGTATAAACTAATAACAAGACCATTGATGTATACACATAATTGGAGATTAGAAGGAAACAAAACTAATTTTCATGGGACAGAATATGATAAGCAAGCAAGCAAGGCACAATATTTAATAGTAGATTGATTAGAATATGCGCTCCAAGCCATTGGTGGGGAAGGGAACGAAGTGAAATTAATGACTTGAGAGATAAGTGAATAAAAGATTTTTTTTATTTTGCCAAACTACATTTTATTATTAAGAATTTGTATCACATAAATAAATAATTGATACCAAACCATTATAAACATTAAGTCAGAAACACACTTGCAAATAATGTTCTCAAAATGGACTCTTGTTGAATGGACAATTAATAACTATTAATTCATAAGTCCAAAAATTACACCATAGTTCAATAAATCATACAAAATTCATCAACCTAATCATAAAGGTTGATAGTAGGATCATATTTATGTTTGGAAAATCATATGTATAACCATCTAATTAGATATCAAAGAGCTTCCTAATGAGAAAATAAGCATATACACAAAATTGGTTCCACAAAAAAAAAAAAATTTCAAGCAAACACATTTCATTTCAAGTGTGAGTTGGATCATTAATTATGTCAGGTATGAGTTGGATCATTATGTCAACATTCCTAATCACTTAGAATATTATGGGCTAAAAAGCTTTGCTTATTCAATACAAGTCTTTATGATTGATTATTCTTTAAGTTTAGTAAATTTTAAAAAGAAATAAAATTAGAATTTGAATAACTTTGCGAGTGCCATCAATTTTGATTATTCTTATTTGATGATTTGAACACAATTACGCCTTTCATAATTGTTATATATATGCTCCACATCAAATTATTTTCTTTGATTAAAAATAGAACCAACCTATTAAACATTGTTTTGGGGGAGCATTCAATTAAATTAGTTATCAAAATATTGTAGAATATTAAACTCTTAAATCGGAACTTTCTAAATTTATGCTATAATTAAATGGGCGTGTATTTCTTTATTTAAAATTAATGTTTTTGATAGGGCACATTGAGCCATTGTTCTTTAAATTGACCTAGTGCATATTTTATGTATTAATGATTTATATTTTCTATTAGATCATATATTTCATTTAAATTATGATTGTGATGTTTTTCTTTAATATTGCTTTCAGTTATGATCAATCTTCAATAAAAAATGGTGAAGAACATAAATCCTTTATTGAACTCCTCAATGTTGAAGCAACGGTTAGCCCGAGCTTTTTTAGGAATTTGACACGATGATAAACTTATATTACCCTTCTTCAATCATTTGAACTAAACCTGTAATAGAAACAAATTGGTTATATATGCTATAATAACCTGAGTATTTATTGATTGAAATAGGCTATGTTGTCTAGTAGAGAAAAGCTTCCCATGTTACACAATAAAGGAGGGTATATACAAGCCACTTTGGCATCAAGAATTTAGAAATTTGGCTAAGTTTACTTTTAGCATTAAACATCATATACAAATCTTAAAGGGAAGAGCTATATATAAGATCAAATGAAAGCATTTCATTACATAATTATCAATTAGATTATGCATTTGGGTGAATTAAAAATTGCATGTAAAGCTATGCATGCTTGAAAACTAGAGAGATTGATGCTTTAACTGATCATTTAGGCTGAAATAGGAATCAAACTAAGATATATTTAGCTTCTAAAGAGGTGAATTTTTTAGGGATGTCTATTTTTTATAAAAATTTATGATGAAAATTAATAATTACACTAAGTAGGATTCTTCTTCTCATAAAAGGAGAGAACTAGCATAACAATCTTCTAATCTTTTGTTTCTAGTTCAGGATGGTTAATAATGAAAATGTTGTCTCACATAAATCCTTATCTCTAGCACCTATATGTTATCTATGTGGTACAAAAATGGCTCCTATATATATATTTCTAGGTTAACGATATGATTAATTAGGAATAATTTTGGCACAAATATAATAGCCCTAGAAAGATTCTCATAATTTAGAACAAATAATAGTAATAGTTTTGAACTACTTTTTTTTCATTTTATTTACCTTGGGAGGTCACATCAATGATGTCCATTTGATGGTATCACAGTGCACTAAATAATAATGGAAGCATCTTGTATCCTATGCTCAATGCATGTCCCATTTTGTATTATGGAAGCTTTGTTGGCTTTATATTATGGTTCCTCATTTCCTTTACTCTTTTATATCGTATGTAACTTTCAAAATTGATTTATTTGATCTTATCAATTAGAGTGTTCCATGCACTATGAGGTGAATAATTAGGTGATGGTGTTTTTTTTTTTCTAATTAGGTGATGGTGTTGTATTGTCATTAAGATGTGAATAACATTATAGCACCAATAAACTATCATAAATTTGATCAAGCCTTCACATTGAATAATCATTAAGATATTGCTTGAATTATTAAACATAACTAACAATGGTATGTCAGTCAAACAATGTCATTTAATATTTGTTTAAAGAGGCTAGTCAAGTTGGGCCACTTAGTTATCATTTCAAGGAGCCTAATCAAATTTGTCTTGAACACTTTTCAATATTTTACATGGCTAAGCAATGGGACAATGGTGAGTTTATCTCATAACTTAATGTTATGTAGCACCTATTGGATTTGCTCTATATATGACATCAGACAAGGAAACACCACCTGAATTACTTCTGGATATATAACTCAAAACTGAGCAAAAGAAATAATTCTTATCATCCTCTCCCCCTATTACACTTTCAATTAGCTATTAATAATATTTGTTGGGCTACAAAATTAGCTATAAGAGCAAACATCCCACCCCTTAAAGGCTTATACCACAAAGAAATCAAATAAACCATAAAAATTGTATTGAAACACACTAACTTGATGTTCCTTCGCTTTTCTTTGCTCTAATCTTGCTAGCTTTTGATGCAATTATTGTATTTCTCTTTGTAGTTCCTCAATCACAACTTCTCGCACTGATCTTTGTGGATTTGGCAAGGCGGCTTCTTATCGGCTTTGTCAAGATAGTTATCTTGTGGCTAAATTTGTAGCCGAGCTGAATTTTGAGTTGTTGAATTCTGACCAAGAACCAAGAATGTTGATGTTCTTAGTGGTTGGAATAGCGTGGATAGTATCAAGAAATTTCTTAGGCGTCGTGGATGAATGATCTTGCTTGCTAATAATTAGACAATATCTTGGAGGTTGGATGTTTCGAATAACAACAAGTAAAGTGTCCAATTATTGTGTAGAAGGGGCTCACGGGCAATCATTTAGGGTGTGGTCATGGAAGGGTTGGTTAGGACTCCCAAGGGCAAGAGCAGTCTGTGACGCATGCAGGGGCAGAGGAAGGCCAACATGCCACATGCAAAGTAAAAGTGGACCATAGGCTGGCCGCGTAGGCGTCGAGGCCAGTTCATGTCGGGCGACTGGTGTGGTACGTGCAAGCGGTCAGATTGCGCAAGTGGGAGGGAACGCGGCCACATGGTGCTTGATCGCATTTT